GTATAAACCCAATAGTCACACTCGATTTCCCAGCGCGATCTTTGATTTCATATCCGTCCATTTCAAAATCAAGATTTTGGAATTAATCTAATGGAAAGGTCAGAATGGCGAAAATCGCATGGCTTATTCCTATCGCAGACTTTTGCTAGAAAAATCAAGTGAAATCCTTTTTTAGAACTTGATTAATCTCTTTCGGGGAAGCGCCAAGCATTTGACTTCCTGTCAGGATTGTTGTGACGTTTGAGTGCGTATTATGCCTATACAATGTAGCCATACTTGAAGGTTCCTGGATCAGCCGCGAAGGGTGGAAAGCTTGGGCGGCTCGGGTTCGGGCACCGATCAATCTGGGCTTTGATCTCTGATCGATAACTGCTCAAACCAGCTGAACGCCAAGTCAAACGTCCTGGCTGCGGCGAGTAGTGTTCATTTTTACGGCGAACGTCCGTTGCGCGTGTCCGTCGAAAGTAGGTCACCCCGCCCACTTCGCGCGCGGCGCACTCCACTGAGGTCTCGAGAAGACATTACAGTAAAACCAAGTGTGAGTGGAGCGAATGATTTGCATTTGTCTGTGTTATCTTCTTCTTGAACTGCCTGCCGTGGACCAAACGCAAAGCATATGCCCCGCTTACAGTTGCGACGTCTGTCAAGTATCGCGGGCTGACCCGCCGCATGCGACGGCTGCGGCGTGACCTAGTTCTGACGGACACGCGCAACGAAACGCACCCCTTTTTTACCTCACCACATTTTTTTTTTGACAGAAACGAATGTAAACGGAAAAGTTGGAATAAAAAATATATAGAAGTGAACTACAACATCCTGGCGATTCAACAAGGTGGAAAGTCTTCTAACAAATGCTGGGATGAGGCAGGCAGTCTTCTAGGTGATCGAAGGGTTATAAATAATATTCTGTTGATATAAATCAGCGTAGGATTTCATAAGTTTGGGGAAAAGGGTAGATATAGACATGTGGAATGTGAAGAATGAAAAAGAGAGAGAACAAGTAACCAGGCTGACCTCATCATGGTAAGCATTTCCATTTTCGTTTGAATGAACCTGGTGAGAATCAAGCTTTCCTTTATCCAAATTCGGTTCATCATGCAAGCTCCTTCGATCTGTAGAATCTACCTGAAGGACGTCAAGTTAGCAATCTTATTGGCATTATCAGCTGGAACTAGGATGTCACAGTTTCCTGCCATCCTTTCAATATTTTTAAAAATAGTTGAGACAAGAAAAGCTATCAATCTGGTGGCTGTCACCCTGAGCCTGAACAGGACAATCAGCCAGTCTATACGACATCCATTTGGAACTTTGACCCTTGAATCATGCAGAGGATAGCAGCGCTGTTTGCAACTCCATTTTAACAAATCAAAAAGACAAGTAGATCTCAAGAAAAGGTTACTTACTTCTAAGCTTCTCGTACTAAAGCACATATTCTAAAGCTTGCTAAAGTAGCCCAACATCTTAAAATTCAGTTCCGAACCTTGTGATGAGTCATTTTTGTCTGGGAACGACGTCCACTCCAGCCAATGATCGGTTTTGGTACTTATAACTACAGTCTGATACTATATCCATTGAGAACTTCCAGCTAGAGCGGCTTGGGAGTTTTCCCCACCCTCTTCACCTTGACGACATTGGGAAATTACTCACTTGCCATGTAACTGTTGTTTTACTACTTGTTGATTTTTTTAAATCATTTTTTCATGACTTAATTCTTATTATTTTTTTT